GTAGACTGACAGAAGAATATGGCTGAACGAGAAGATCTTAAGGCTGACAGCTCTGGAGGCAGCGAAGGTAGGAGAGATAGAGCAGAAAAGGACACCAAAGAATGGTCTATAAAAAATTTTCGAGCAGGAGAGATGTATTGAGTTGCAAAGGCACCTTAACGTAACCAACATTAAATCAAAGTATTTGAAGCATTTGCAACATTCCTGAAAACTAAAAAACACAGTGATCCGAGCTTAATAAACATTTTCTCGAGGGTGTGTTGGATTGATGGTCAATTACTTGTTTACGTGTGGCCTTGTGCCATATATTATATTTCATCAATTCGAAGTTTGTAAATCTGAATTGTTAATTATCTTGCTTTTTATTTCCAATTAAATAAATACCACTGTAAATATCTACATTTTTCGCGGCATAAAAACCACAATTGTATTTACTACTTATCGCCCAAAACTGAACAAAGAAATCGAGTGCTGAAAATAATTACATCAAAAAGAAAATGAAAACTTGTATCAATTGCAATAAAGGAGCACTTAAGAGGGGCAAGTTGGGGGAGTCTTCCACTCACTAAGCTTCGCGCATTTATGATTTTAAAGATGAGTGAAAAAAGTTCTAAAATGTGGTAGAATAGAAGAATAGAAAAAAATTTCAAACAGCGCTAAAAACAAGAAAGCGGTATATTAAATATCAAATTCCGTTTGAAAAAGATCACTGTTTTTGACAAAATGGACGACTGCACTTGCAGCTTATGTTTTCTCTTGCGTTTTAGGTGTTAAGCTGCCTTAGAATGGTGCGCCCATATCGTGCTTGTGCTACTTTTGCTGAATCTATGAGTATTGTGCAATATTCTGAATGAAATTTCCAGCCAATTGCTTTGGTGCTATTATAATAGTTGGCCGCTGGTGGTTTTTATATGGTTGCAGCCACTTGGTTGATTGAAATTTAAGCTTTGGTGGATGACAATAATAAAAGTTGTGTCAATGTGTATTGTGTAGGAGCGTAAGCCTACTTAATTAAACTTTAAATATCTTTGAGTGTTGTCCAGAGTCTATTGTTTCTTTGTTTATTGGTAGGTGGTCTCTTTATGTTGTTGTATCTGGTTTCAGGTAAATATTTATACCTCGATACGGAATTCTAGCATCTTTTGTGCCAACGCTGACAGTTATGTTGAATGGCCACTATATTTGAACATGACTTTGGTTTTGCCTTCATTCGATGTCAAACTGACTGAATCAAAGCTTTGGTTAGCTAAGTAGCACCTACTTGCACGCAAGTATATATCATATACTCAAGTTTCTAGTGTCACCACATGTTAGTTAAATTAGGAATATATGTATTTGAAATAACTTCGTACTTATATATTTAAATTTTTTCATATATATATTCACCATATATATTCTTTCTTAACAATCCAGTTCTTTCTTCCAAACCATACATTTACGGCAGCAGTTCATGGAAAATTTACACAAAAATGAGAAGTCAACATGGCAATATGTATGGAAAGTCAAAATACAGACGTACATATATGCTTCTTAAATTGAAAAAGGGCAAAGTTCTAAATGTCTTTTCAGCTCATTCATTTTTTTTTTTTAATTACGACTCATTTTCAGAACCACGAGTTGTTAATGAACAGTGACTTTTAGTTTTATTTTTCATAGTCATGTTGAGAAGAAGTAGTCACTATTGACCAAACTTAACTTATTGAATTGATTAAATTTTTTCTTGTATTTTAGTTGGATTGGGGGGGTTTGCGATACAATAATTACTTTTTTTTATAGTTTTTTGTACTTTTTTAAATGTTATTACCTCTTGTATATCGGAAGGAAAACTTACCTGTGTCTCTCTCTTTTAAACCTCTTTCAAAAAATGTTCAACGCAAAAAAATAACGTTAACCTAAATTGCACCGAACCTATAATATCCCTCATAAATAAAAATTTCCATACAAAAGTTTTATTTTAATGGGTCAGTTTGTTTAGCAACTATATGCTATAATAGTTCGATCTAAACCATTTGTTTTGAGATTGTACTATTACTATTCCTATTTCGTGAGGATATCTTGTTAAATAGAAGAGTTTTCTATATAAGGACTTGCGTTTGATCAGTCAGATTGACATCATCGAAGGCAAAACCAAAGACATGTTCAAAATATAGTGGCCATTCAAACATAAGTGTCAAAGGGTTATGGTCAAAGGATACATTATTCCAGAACGGAGGTGATGAAATATTTACTCCGGAACCAGATAATAACAACATAAAGAGACTACCCAAACAATACACAAAAGAAATAATCATTTTAAATACTTCCTTTCTCCCAATTACTTTCCAATAAGGCAACGTCAATCATTGTCGAGATTCTGCAATAATGCCACGGTATGTTATACGCACAAATATATTGTAATAATGTTTAAAAGGCAATTATTAGCTTTAAGAAAATCAGAAATTAAAAAAATGCGGCCAGATGTGTCATTTTTTTGTGAATGAATAGCAATGCTTCAATAGCATATATAATATAAAATGTATAATATTTATGTTATTGAAGCATTGTTACTTTTTACTTTTTAAAGAAAAATGGCAAAACTTTATATACAGGTTGGTTGAAAAGTTTCTACGCTCGAAATGAAAAAATATTGTTTTTGGTACTAAATATCCTCCAAAAATTTTATGCCATCCCTGTAATGACTTTTCGAAAATAACCGTCTACGGCTGTAATAGAAAAAATTGTTTCAGGCTTTAAAAGAGGTCTTTTCTCACAAACTTTTTCATTCGGCTGAGCCAAAAGGCTGGAATAATATTCAGAGTTCATTGTTTTACCTTTCTGCAGATAATCAATCAACAAAGTTCTTTTTGCATCCCAAAAAACTGATGTCATAACTTTCTTTGCTGATTGCTGCTTTTGAGCTAAACAAACAGTTTCAGTCCAGTCGGTTTTATTCTACTTAAAACGCTCCATTAAGTTTTTGTTGTATTGTTAACGTGTGCGGCACTAACGTTCCAAACAGATTTTTCATATGTAACTCTCCATGCAAAATATGAAGTACTCCTTTGTCTGAGATGTCCATGGCATCAGCAATTTTACGCTTAGTTAAACTTGGATCTTCACTAACGATATTATGAACTTTTGTTCATGAATTTTCTTTGCTTTTAAATCTTTCAAAACAAAGAATCTAATCACTGTGCGATATTAAATTGTTTCCACATTAAAACATTACTCTGGCACGTCAACTTCAAGCTTCTTAACAAAGAATAAACTGACAGAATAACTTATAATTTTGCATGTGTTCTGAAGACAGAGGAACCAACTTGAGCTAGTAGTGCTATTTCTTGGTGAGGCTAACCAACTTATCAACCAACCTGTATGAACGCACATGTACATCCATTTATAAAAGAGTCTATGATGTTGAAATTTTCAACAGATCTATTATATTATATATGGCATATCTTTACTCGACCTGAATGTATAGCTGCCCCAACAACAACTACACCAATACGCGTTTTCTTCTTAGGCATTTAAAAGCAAAGTGACATTAAAAAATTCTTACCTGTGACATCCGTTTGCCACTCTCCAACTCTAGATAATCCTCTTCTCCGCTGTCATCCTCCACGCCACTACTGAACGCACTAGTATCATTGCGACCACTCCCACTTCCCTTTCCACCACCGGCACTAGCCGAAACGCCAGCGATCTCCGGCTCAGCACAGGATTTTCTCCTAGCCGCGCGCAAGCAACGTCGACGTCGTTCCACCTCATCCACCAAACCAATAGCGTCCTCCTCATCGCTTATCTCCATTGAAATGCGGCGCGGTACGTCCGCTATTATTTCGCCAACATGATTGGCGATTAGACGCTTACGAGCAGTTTTCGCTTTCGCCCCCTTATACACGAATATATGAGTGTCCTTGTCCACGGCAGCGGTGAGCGGCATACAAGGTGAGAGTGGCGAAAAGAGACTGGTGCCATCTTCATCGATCGTCGCCGTCGCATGAGCGACGTGATGTTGGCTGCTGTTGTGTGGCGGCAGTCTGTGCAATGCCGCTGAAGCCGCGTGTGTGTGGAATGGCGGCGGACTGGCTGTGGAAGCGGCGCTGGTTTACCAGCGTTTAGCACTTTTTTGCTTTTGTGAATTATTTGTTTGCTTTGGCTAATATGCGCATTTTCCGTTATCTATTTTTAGGTGCTGACATTCCAATACATTGACTCATTTAACATTCATTTCCCCATTGAAGCATGTCAATTACCTTAATAGCACTGAAAATAAATTGAAAGAAAACACGTTGTTATTACGTATGCATACATATTTACTTAAAAGCTAAAGCATTTGCAGTTAGTACATACAGACTATAATAATATATAAATGTATACTAAGAATTAATTGTGGTGCATTGAATTTGTTAGCAAACTAATTATGCCCAATGTCATGGCCTTATCCCCCTATTAAAATTTACTATTTTAGAGTGAATGACAAGCCTTGAGAAGGTCTGTCATAGACCGAAAGCATGATAACTTAAGCGACATGATTATCAAAAACTACGCAAATAAGCAACACAAGGTTAACCAAAACCTGAGAAAACACAATAACTTGTATTAGAAGTATTAAAAAAGATTCATACATTGATTTTAAAGGTATTTTTGTGTCTTAAGTTTTCTACATATCTAATAATTTATTCCTTTTGCAGAAATCAAATTTATGTACATGACATTATATCTTTAAAATGTTTTCCAAACACTGGAACTTGCTTGGATTAACTTGTTTAAAACTAATAAAAAGCATAGCAGGAAAACTTTTTTTCACTATTTTTAATTTTCAAAAAATTGATCTTTAATGTAAAGTTGAAATTTAGAAGCTTTCCAAATACTTATAGCACTGAAGATTCTGCATAAATTCGAAATATGAATTAATCTAACGGGTGTTGTTTTAAGACATTTCAATGAGGCACTGGTTTGCCATTTCATAATGACAACTGACTCCAAAAGAACGTTTGCAAATCGTGCAAATTTATTACCAATATAATGGTTTGCGGTCGATATTTTGGTCAATATTTCTTGAAAATCGAAGTCGGCCATAATGTTACAGTCAATGGGGAACGCTATTGAGCCATTATTTATTAATTTTTCGTGCTGAACTGGGGGGTGTTGATGGGGACACCTTTGGTTCCAACAAAACGTAATGTAATAAATTTATTAAAGGAATATTTTAGTCAGCGCATTATTTCGCCGCTGCATATTTATTGTGGAATTATGTCTATTTAATTCTCTGTTTTCGGAAGGGACTTCTCGAATGCGTAGACACTCTTATGCTGCTTATGGCTTTTGGTCAACCTTAAAGAGAAATAATAAAATTTTATAGTTTTAGGGATAATGATCATATGCGATTTAACGTCAGAATCTTTCCACCGGCTAGAAGTGCGTATATGTAATATTTCTGAGACTTAAAGGTTCCTCCAGAACTGATTTCATCTACCGAAAATCTAAGAAAATCATAGTGCACCTGTATTGTGAAAATCACAGTGTGCATATGTATATGTATGTGTCAATATAATGCTGCATTATTCATCAGTAGGGTTATATGCAGTTCATCGTGTGCATTAGTATTTGTATGCAAGCAAGAATTTATTTGTGTGCCTGCCTACATATTTAGCGGTTAGAAGGCAGTGTCTCGTAATCCAAGCATATCGTTGCTGTAGAATATTGCATACACATAGGCAGTTGTTTTACAATACAAACACAACAACAACAATGTAAAACAAACGTGAGGGTTAGTGCTGCTGTGCGCTCTTATTATAAACGCATTACGTATACGCCACAGAGGCTCACTTTGATTGTACAGGTTTTACAAGCACACGCACTCCTATACATTCACATATATTTTATATAATGGAGGGTGCATTTTTAAATGTAAGGGCTAAGCTGCGTTTGTTGCCACTTGCCGACACCTTTTATTAATTAATTAAGTTTGTCTAAAAGTGCCTCTGTGCATTATCTCACTTTGTATTATTGTGATATTTTAGTTGTTGTAACCAATAATTGCATGCTTTTGCGCAGATATTCACTTATCGACACTTAAGTATTCTGTTTGTCGCTTCACTCCTTTCGTCCTTGTTGTCGATTGCACTTCCGTGGTTGATTTTAATTAAAAACACCCACCGTTCTTATCGCTTAATGCTATTTACAGCGAGTGACAGTTGTACTTTAGGCGACTTGGCTATTCTAAATTGTATGTAAGAGTATGCTTTATCAAAAATAATGTAAATTATAGGGGATTGCAATGCAGACTTAGTTTAATTCTTAGCACAACTCAGTTAACTAAGACATTTTGTAGAGGCATTGAGGCTCTGTTCTTCCTTTGTTTTCTTTGGAATAATCATTTTTATTTTTCATCCTAGATTACATTTGCCTCCGACTGGTTGTTCTAGTCTTCAAATTTAAAAATAATTTCGACTAGTTGCTTTTTTAGCCGCCAGTTACATAGTTTTTCACTTGTTGCACATTTGAAGTGTTGAAGAATTGCCTTAGTCCCAAAATGGTTCCTCATCTTGTTATGTTTTCATATACATGTTAGTTATGTATTTAATTCCCAGGAAAATTTATATACAGATTTGCGAATTAAAGGCGGAAGCAAAGACGAGTAATAAAAAGTGGAAAACTAAAATGAAATTAATTTTGTAAATCTGTGGCATTCTAGTTGTGTGGAAGGTCATTTCGGTCAGTTGGTGGTCCCGTTGAAGATAGTTTGGTGTGTCACCGTGAAGATAAATTATGTGACGAGAATGAATAGGGAAAATGCGAATGATTTCTCTTCGATTAACATTTACGAACTGCGTTTATTGCGGCGAATTTGATAAACTTTTATAAAAATTAAAATTTTCATATTTAAGAACACTTAAATAGCTTATATTGGTTTCAGATTTAAAAATTTTCTTATCGAAAATAAGGTTAAAGAAGGAAGCATTCAAAGTGTATATATATTTGGTAATACAAGCTTTTTTATACAAACTATATATATAATACATTATTTAATGATATAGAGACAAATATTTCTTAGACATATTAATCAAGTATATTTAAATCCATAAAGATTTATGTCTACCAAATATCGTGACAAATTTTATATATTAATTTGGATTATAAAATGTTGCCATAAATGCCCAGACGAACCGAAATGACAAAAAAACTTCTGGTATATTCCTCCACATTCAAAGTAAAAATGTTTGTGTTTTATAGAAAATAAAGCTAACCCGTTAAGCGGACCAAATGCTGTCATCACAACAATATCAACATTGACTCTTTAAAATTCATTGATTACTCAACAGAGTGACAAACGATTGGTACAAATAAATAAATTTAGACGAAAATAGAATTATAAAAAAGATATTTTTGAGGCTTGATAAGCCTTAAACTTAATGTGCAGGTTGCAACATTTATTAGCACAGCTGAATCACCGGAGTATCGTTTTCTTATCCTAAGAAAACTTCGCCTCATTATATGCAACATTATAAAAATTGGTCCATGTTTCCTTTAAACATTTTAAATTTTTGCTCACTCACAATTTCCATTATTGAACTTAACAAAATTGACCGATTCATTACAATTAATAGAAAACCTTGATTTAAAAAAATTACTATTAAAATCGATAAATAAATATCCATTGGGCAACTATCACCTTTACGTTTTGAGAAATGTTGCATTTTTTTCTAGGTAGAAGACAACTTAATAAGAAAAAAAACAAAGGAAACTTAAACAAGAAAAAACGTTAACTTCGGGTGCCGTAACTAGAATATTCTTTACAATTACATTGCTTAAAACAAATTCTTATTTTGATCCGTCAGTTTGTATGGCAGCTATCTGCTATAGTGATTCCATCTAATATTTTCTTCGGAGATTACACTGTTGCCTTAGAAAATAATCCCTGCCTAATTTTTTGAAGATATCTCGTCAAATGAAGAGTTTTTGTTACAATTACTTGAAATCGATCGTTCAGTTTGTATAGCAGCTATATAATATCGTGATCAAATATCGGCGGTTTCGACAAACGTAAGTATGAGCAGCTTCTCGGGGAGAAAAGGATCATCTAGTTATTTAACTGATATTTTTTTAATGGCGGTAAGCCATCTGAAAAATCTCTTTGACAGATTGAGTTCCTTAAATTTGATTGGATTATAATTCTTTTTAAAAGTCCCCAGCCTGTCCTGAAAAAAAGTTTTAAATACTCTTTTGAATGAAAAATGTAAGATTGATTGTAAATTCTTACGATAACCAACGCACGAATCTTCTGCGTCGTTACTTTTATGCCGACAAAGTGGCATTTTACTCTCAAAGGTTTTCAAAGGACACTTAAATTATTAAGCACATAAACACGCCTTTTTATCGACAAAGATACACTTACATACTAACTTATATACTTGAAGAAAGATTTATTGTAAGTATATTGATTTATTTGACTCGTTGCTGTGTGTTGCGTTATGGCAGTGATTTCACGCTTAAGCAACAAAAACAACAAATGTAGATATGAGCGACAAGAGGAATAACAAGTGTGGAAAATGACAAAATCAGTGTAAACAGACAACCAGAAATCGACAATCAGCGCTCAACAGTCAACAGGCAGCTGGCAACTGACGATTGTAGCATCCTCAGAAGAAACCGCAAATATCCGTATAAAGGGTGTTTTTTTTAAGAGATAATCAATAACCACGGCTCTACAACAGTCTCCATTGACCGTAACGTAATAGCCGGCTTCATTTAACAAAAAAAGGGACCAATAGTTCCTTTTGCCCATAACTGAACTTTCTTTTCTAAATTGAGATCGGCGGCCATCCGCATTATCCACTATAGTAAACGTGGTGCGAATTCGACCCATGGTGACCGGAATAAGAAAGTGCCAGAATGAATATAAATCAAGTAATAGTTGTCAAAAAGGCAAACTCCGAAGAGAATATTTAGACCCTGAAAACCACACGTCTAAAAAAACACCCGTTAAATATTGTATTCATACTCGAATATGTATATTTCTTCCCCAATAATATTTACATAACAAGTATCTATGTACATCCACGATATAAATGTATATGTACATAAATATATTATATAC